GAGCTGAGAAGAGATGGTTGTGGTTGAGAAGAGAGGGTGGGAAGTGTGGAAGACTTATATAGACTGGTGGGACAAATAATTGCAAATAAGAATAAGAACATGTGACCTGTGGCAACTGCACCACCACAAGAAGTGACCATAGCATGTTGACATCATAATGAAAGTTGTAGCACCCAATTACACTGTGGCAGTTTCAATCTTATCACATGCTCTAAAGAGTATTCCAAAGTGAAAACAGTATATTTTCTTGTGAATCAAATTATGAGACTCCTGTAAATCTTGATTTCTGTTAAGTCTGGTTTGTCACTGGTCCAAAGCTGATCTGGAGTCTGGTCAGGGAACAGAGGGAGTATGAGGTACTAGAGTGTTGGACTATTTGGACTTAGTGACTGAAGGGCAGTACTATTCTCTTGCATGGGCTGCAGTCCAGTTGAGAGGCAGAAACAGGAGGAGACCAGGTTAGACAAGACTAGATTGATTTCAGACTGCTGCTAAACAATTCTTCCTATGGCTTAAATACTAAAGGTAAACTAAGTGTAACATAGCACTGGAGACTGGTTGCACTGGTACAGTGGTGATTGGTAAACTGATTAGTAAGTACAATGTTACAAAGAATATTGTCAAGCAAAGGTAAGAACAAGGTTTACTAGGAACTGCAGCAGGACTAGTGACAGGCCAGGTACTATTCTGGTCTGACCTTAACTGAGTGAACAGCTCAACTGGGCACTGCCTTGCAGTGCCTTGTGAGCTAACATGTTTCTGGGTTGAAGTGTCAAGGCCAGGACCAGGGTAGGTAGGGGTGGGATGTGACCAGTTGAGACTGGGGTAGGACTGGTCTAGGGTAGTCCAGGCATGGTTGTGACAATTTCAAGCAAACATATAAAATTTATCTAAGGTTTATATTGTGAAAAACATTGAGATGAGTATCTGAAGACAATTGAAAACTACATACTGCAAGAATGTCACAAGGTCATTGACAATAATATCTTGCTAAAAAGCCAGTAACAACAGTAAAAGTTGAAATTTGGAAATCACTTTGTAGGGATGCATAATTCAATATTATGCAATCCATTCTGAGATTATCAAAAGATAAGATTATCTGCATCATCAAAAGGTGTTACCAAAATAAATAACTAGATATCAGTTACAAGATGCTCAGAAGACATCAGGCAGAGAGCAGGCCAATGATTTGCCAGTGACTGCCCAGTGATCTCCATATTAGGCATTCTTTTTGTATCTCCAACATGATTAAGCATATCTAGGTGATGGTATGATTGGCTAATCTCTAGTAATGGTACTGCAGTGAAGTGTGTGGCCCAGGCAGCATGTAATATAATGATAGGGAGTGCACCCCCTTCATTGTTATAGCTGTAGGCAAATTGACCATTCTAAGGGGTACACCTCATTTGGTCATTTTCATGTCCAGAGGCATATCAACATGGCTCACAAAGGTGACATCTATATACAGATCCTATGTGTGTCTATACAATGTAACTATACAAAAAGCACTGAAGAAATGTCAGTAAATTGATCATGATTAGGCTGAATGGCCTACCTTGTGCTTGTGGCATCAATGAGTCACACAACAATGACCAGGCAAACATCATATAATGGGACCTGGGTCCCATTCTCTAATACCACCCCTTTGAGTTTTCTTTAGTTTGACATTTATTGATGTGGTGAATTTTTCCTTTGAGTGTGCCCCTCAGTATTAGGCAGTGCTGACTAGTACTTGTTGGGTTGGCAGGAGACAAGTCACATGCCAGAATAGTGTGATGTTTGATGATGGTGCTTACTCCTCCATCAGAGCCCCATTCATGAAGCTTTTGTTAACTTCACTGAGAGGATGAAAAGGTGGGAGATGTGATCACTTACTGCTCCCATTGCCCCACAGACCCCCAATGCCCTATCCCCTTTGATGTCTGACTCATGCCCTCCAGTCCTGGAATTAATACTTCCCTATCTGGAAACACTGTCCATCTGTCATGCCATCTTTGGGTCTAGTGATGTCTCCACCAAGATCTGACTTGCATCACCACCCCCTAATGTGATATCAGTGTGCTTACTCAGTTTCTGACTCCATTTAACTCATTTTGTGATACTTTGACTATCCTTGACTCATTCATTGCCAATACTTACCAGTCCTCTTTGCTTGCTTACTTTTCATTTCTTGCTTACTCATCATGATTACTCAGTCCTTACTCATTACTTACTAAGGGTTTTTGCCCTGTTTGTCATAGGCTGCACTCCCCCCACAGTATATAAACCTCCATGTACTTAGCTACAACCAAGTGAACCAGAAGCCATTCACTCAGCAGTCAGCTCAGTGAATAACTTGTCATCAACAGCTGAGGCTCATTTGGAAGAGTCTATCTGTCACCATCCATCATCCTTGGTAGTTGAGGCTCCATGAAGGGGTCTATCTGCCTCCATTCTTCATCTGAAGTTTTATCTCCACTTAGTCAGCAGTCTTGCTTAGTCATCATCCTCCCACTCCTGCATAACTCATCATCAACTTGTGCCAGGAGCACATTTTATCAAAGTCCATTACTCCAGAAGTCCTTTTGGCTGAACACCTTCACTCTGTTCAGCATCCCCCATCCAGTCATCACTTGCTTGTCTTCTCCTGCATAACTTGCTGTTGACTTGTGCCAGGAGCACTCTACTTGAAGTCCCCCCCACATCAGGTTTTTCTGCACTCCAGGTTCCATGGAGGCACACCACCACTTGCACATTATTTGTCTTTTGTGTTGGATTTGGTTGGTTTTCACTGCCTTTCCTCACTTTGACTCACACCAGTGTAGAAGAAGTGGTGCAGAGTGCCATCACTGTATCCCCAGACTTGTGAGGCAAGCTTGTTGAACTTGACCACATACTTGTTGACCTGGTGATTGTCTTTCATCTGAAGGTGGTCTAGCTGGCTTCAGTGTTGGCCACTGGGTCATGAGCTCCAAAGGTGGTTTGAGGTTCTATGACAAACTCTTTCCAAGAGTCCATCCAATAAGGCCAGTCCTCTGGGTCTTCAGTCCCAAGTAGGTCTGGTTCAAACCACTCAAGAGCCATCCCTTTCAGGAATGACTGCACAAAAGTGACCTTGGCTTGATCACTTTGAAAGGCCCAGGGCCAGTCCTGGAAGTTGAGTTCACATTGGATAAGAAAAGAGTGCAGCTTCTTTGGGTCTGTCCCATCAAAGGTGTCCAGTTCACACAACTTGGTTCTTGAAGAGGACTCAGAGCTGGTGCAAGCATTACATGTGAGGAGTTCTATAGCTTTAGCAAGGTTGTCAAGCATGGTTACACCAGGCTCAACATCATCTTCAGGGAGGGGTTCTTCATTGTCATTGTCTGGTTCATCTGGGTCCAGTTCATCATCCAGATCATTAGTGGGTGCAGAAGGTCGATTAGAAGTGGGTGTAGTGGATTTGTGGGCTGAGAAGCCCCTGAAGTTGTTGACTTCACCAGGTGACCTTCTGGCTGTCCCTAAGGACACCAGGGCAGCACCACAGCACAAGTCAACTGCTGAGGCAGAATCTGGATTGGTGGTAGCATGTGCCCATGCTCCTTGAGTTCTGGTCTGGGTAGGCATGCCAAGAGTGTGACACTAAGGTTTGGACAGAAGGGTAGTGACCCACACAAGTGTGAGTCTGAAATACTGTTAAGTCCAGTTCATCACTGGTCTAAAGCCAGTCCAGAGTCCAGTCAGGGGTCAGAGGATAATATGAAATACTAAGGGGTTTTGGACTGTTGGACTTAGCAACTGTAGGTGCAGCACTATTCCCTTGCATGGGCCATAGTCCAGTTGAGAGGCAGAAGACAGAGAACAGGGGGGACCAGGTTAAGATGAGACTAAGTTAATTTCAGACTGAGGCTAAACAGATTATCCTACAGCTTAAATACTAGAGGTAACCTAAGTGTAACATAGCACTGGAGACTGGTCTGCACCAGTACAGCAATGATTGGTAAACTGATTGGTAAGTAATGTTACAAAGAATATTATCAAGCAAAACTATGAACAAAGGAATTACTGGGAACCAGGGCAGGACTTGTGGCTGGGCCAGGTGTTACACCAGCCCAGTACCAACTGAGCAGACAACTCAATTGGGCACTGCCTTGCAGTGCCTCACAAGCTAACATGTGTCTGGGTTGAAGGGTTAAGGCCAGGACCAGGGCAAGGGTTGGATGAGACTGGTTGAGACCAGGGTAGAGCCAGTCTAGGGTGGTCTAGACATGGTCATGACACTTGGTTGGTACTGGTCATTCAGTTATGGCTTTTACCTTGCTTTTGTCCATCTTTACCCCATCAGTGCCAACCACCATGCCCAAGAACTCTACCTGCTTCTGTTTGAAGAAGCATTTCTCCAGTTTGATGAACAGATCATTTTCTTTCAACCTTCTCAGAACTTCCAGGATGATCCTGTCATGTTTGGCTTCATTTTCTGTTTTGGTGAAGATCATGAGGTCATCAATGTAGACCACCAAGACATCCTCCATGTCACCAAAGATGTCATTCATCATATTCTGGAAAGTAGAAGTGGAGTTGCAAAAACTGAAATACATGATGAGGGGGGGTTCATAGGCACCCTTGTGAGTGATGAAGGTGGCCTTCCACTCATTTCCTTCCTTGATGCAAACATTATTGTATCCCCAGCAGAGATCCATCTTGGTAAAGAGCTTACAGCCCTTGAGCCTGTTGACAAGCTGGGAGATGAGGGGAAGGGGATATACATTCTTAATTGTGTGCTCATTGAGGTACCAATAGTCCTGTACCATGCACTTCTTGCCATCCTTCTTAGGTACAAAGAAGATGGGGGAGGTCTGGGGTGACTTCAAAGGGTGGATGTACCCCTTTTGTAACTGATCTTCAAGGAAGTCCAAGACCTCTTTTTGCTCTTCAGTAGAGAGGGGAATGAGGCAGCCATGTTTAGGGGTAAAGTTGTCCTTCAGGTTGATAGTGTGATCCCACAGCTTGTGGAGCAGCATCCTTTCTGACTCTTCCTTGGAGAAGACCTTGAGATACTGGTGGTACTCCTTTGGAATGAGTTCCTCTGTGGTGCCAGCCCTGACCCTAGTAGAATGAAGCTTTGGATAGAGGTACTCCATGTCCTGGGCCTCCTGTTCCTTGGCTAACCTTCCCTTTCTTGTTCTTGGGGTGAGGTCATGACACTCATGAGGGCAATGTGACAGTTTCACCCATTTAGTCTCCCAACAGACCTTGGGGTTGTGCTTTTGTAGCCAGGTATACCCAAGGATAAGAGGGTGTGTGCTGAGTGTAGTAACCTGGGCCCAGAGAGACTCTCAATGTCCCTGGTAGTTCATGATGAGGGAGGCAATGTGCATGATGTTGCCAGTGATGTTGGGGGTTCCATCAACATTTAGAATGGGGACAGGTCAGCTGAGCTTGATGAGGGGGACATTGTTTTCATCAGTCCACCTTTTGTCCAAGAACATGTCATTTGCTCCAGAATCCACCAACACTTTCACCTCCCATTTCTTTTCTCTCCCTTCCAACACCACCTCTAACTCCAACTCTGCCTTTGGATGGGATCTCCCCACACTAGGAGTGTTGGTATCACATCAATAGGAGGTCTACTAAGCTTCTACAGGCATTCTGACAGAAGCAATGCAAATGTGACCCCTCTTGAGCATCATCCATGCTCTAGCTCACCCAATACTCCATCCTCTTCAGTCAAGTCACTTCCCCTGCCATTGCGTGACCACTAGACACTCCCCTTGGCCATTGCAATGAAGTTCCAACACTTGCAACAGGTTTCTGGTTGCCTGCTCTCACTCACTTGCACTGTCAGTTATGTAAGCATGTTTCTGTCACTCTCACTGTACTCCTGTTTTCTTCCCTTCAGACCACTTGTGCTTCCTTGCACTTTCTTTATTTTAGTTGCTCTTTTGATTACTGACACTATATGGGCCTCATGGCCATCATTACATTGATCTCAGCTAATTTCCATTCTTTCCTGTCACTCTTTTGAGTTTTGACATTGCTTACTTCATAGTTACATACTCCCCATGTAGCTACACATATACCTGTCCTCATTGACAGGAAAAACAATGACTTTGAAGCCCCTGAGTTAGAGACAGAGAGAGGAAGCAGAGTAATGACATCAACATGACCCCTACCACTCCCCCTGCCTGGTGCTGAGTTGCAGGCATAATTCCAACAGATTTCTAGGCAGGCTTGAGGCCTGTGCATTCCCTAATCCATTGTGCTTTTTGTTTACAGGTCAAGCAACATGCACAACTCAGTTGCATCCACTCCCTTCCCCTTCCTACAGCTAGAGTGACTCCCCTTGGGTCAAACTCACCCCTTCAGATAGCCTATCCCTAGGCTGGAGCCCACATCCCCATACTAGGTAGCAGATACCTGCTCCCCACATTGGCACTTTTTATTTTTGGGGTTTCTCCAGCTGACTGGATAGGTGTGTTCTTTTTATTTTTAACACAAGAGGAATTAAGCACCAATGGTTTTACATCTGTGGCCACACCCACTGGGGTCACCTCTTCAGATGGTACAGTAGTCTCTGAGTTAAATATATCCTGCTCAGTAGAAACATCATCAACACCTAAGACAGAAAACTTATTACAAACATAGCCAGAAGAGACCCAATCCTCTACTGGCTGAACTCTTTTCCCTGGGCCTTCATCTCATTAATTTGCTTGTCATAGAAGAAGGCCTGCATTTCCTTGAAGGACATCTGGCACAGGGCAGTCTCTTGTGCCTCCTGGGTTGCCTCCCATATGTTGGGCCTAGCACATCCTTTCCCTTTAGCATGGGGGCAATCCTGTTTGTAGTGGTTGCCTTGGCAATCAAAGTACTTGATGTAGGATGGGACAGGATGAGGGGGAAACTGGGTGGCACCAATTTCCATGGGAGCACCATGACCAGGTTGTGTGCCAGTAGGAGTGAAGCAGTGTCACACACCAAAAGTGTTGTGGACATGGTTACAGCTGACTCTGCCTAACTTGTTGATGAGTTGCATGCAATGCCCATGCCATGCAGATGAAGACTAAAGGCCTCATGTGTAGAAAGACTGCTGGACATGAGCAGTCATCCTTCACACAAGAACAAGTCATCAGTGCTAAAGAGAAGAGAGGAAGTGAGTTAAGCACATGTTAAAGGTTTTTAGTGCCTGTGCATGGCATCCCAGTTTCCAGCATATCTCCACCGCTTCCAAAGATATCAACTCCATTCTCACACTTGCTTAAAGTGCTCAGCCACATGATTCTGCCTTCCAAATTTGGAGAGGATCCTCACACCCTACACATTTCTACAGCACTCCATCCATCAGATGCTCATTTTGCTATGTCCATCAATAATGGCCACCTCTTCATTGATCATCTCACATGTCTCATTTGCCAGAGACAGTGGCTATGTATATCTGCCAGCTCCTCCATCAGAGCCCCATTCACAAAGTTTTTGTTAACTTTGCTGAGAGGATGAAAGGGTGGGAGACACAATTGTGTATGCTCCCATTGCCCCACAGACCCCCAATGCCCTAGCCCCTTTGATGTCTGACTCATGGCTTCAGTCCTGGAATTAATACTTCCCTATCTGGAAACACTGTCCATCTGTCATGCCATCTTTGGGTCTCATGATGTCTCCACCAAGATCTGACTTGCATTGCCACCCCCTAATGTGATATCAGTGTGCTTACTCAGTTTCTGACTCCATTTGACTCATTTTGTGATATTTTGACTATCCTTGACTCATTCATTGCTAATACTTACCAATCCTCTTTGCTTGCTTACTTTTCATTTCTTGCTTACTCATCATGATTACTCAGTCCTTACTCATTATTTACCAAGCATTTGTACCTTGTTTGTCACAAGCTGCACTCCCCTCACAGTATATAAACCCCCATGCACTTAGCTACAACCAAGTGAACCAGAAGCCATTCACTCAGCAGTCAGTTCAGTGCACTTTGACTCACACTGCCATTGTTAAGGAAGCCCTGAGGGGGGGATACACACAAGGCAACTACCTTCAGATGACTGTTGCCTTCAACAAGGCTGCTCTAGCCAGAGATCACTTCAAACTCCTCTACAATCATTATCCTGATGAACCCACCCCCCACTCCTCCTCTAACAACTACCCCTACTCCCCCCACTGTGAGTCAAAGTGTAGAAAGGTGGTGGAAACCAACCAAAACCAACACCAAAGACAAGTAATGTGTGAGTGGTGGTGTACCTCTGCAGAACCTGGAGTGCAGAAGAATTTAATATGGGGGGGGAGTTCAATGGCAGGTGCTCCTGGTGCAAGTCATTGATGAGTTACACAGGAACAGACAGGCAAGTGATGACTGGATGGGGGGATGCTGAACAGAGTGAAGGTGTTCAGCTGAAAGTATTCTGGAATAATGGACCTCAATATAATGTGCTCCTGGCACAAGTTGATGACAAGTTATGCAGCAGTGGATGGATGACTAAGGAGGGGTTGCTGACTAAGTGTGGATAAAGCTTCAGATAAAGGATGGAGGTAGATAGACCCCTTCATGGAGCCTCAACTACCAATGATATGAATGAAGACAGATAAACTCTTCTGAATGAGCCTCAACTGTCAACAATGAATTATGCACTGAACTGACTGCTGAGTGAATGGCTTCTGGTTCACTTGGTTGTAGCTAAGTGCATGGGGGTTTATATACTGTGAGGGGAGTGCAGCTTGTGACAAACAAGGTACAAATGCTTGGTAAATAATGAGTAAGGACTGAGTAATCATGATGAGTAAGCAAGAAATGAAAAGTAAGCAAGCAAAGAGGATTGGTAAGTATTAGCAATGAATGAGTCAAGGATAGTCAAAATATCACAAAATGAGTCAAATGGAGTCAGAAACTGAGTAAGCACACTGATATCACATTAGGGGGTGGCAATGCAAGTCAGATCTTGGTGGAGACATCACGAGACCCAAAGATGGCATGACAGATGGACAGTGTTTCCAGATAGGGAAGTATTAATTCCAGGACTGAAGGGCATGAGTCAGGCATCAAAGGGGCTAGGGCATTGGGGGTCTGTGGGGCAATGGGAGCATACACAATTGCATCTCCCACCCTTTCATCCTCTCAGAAAAGTTAACAAAAACTTCATGAATGGGGCTCTGATGGAGAAGGAGAAGGGGGGACATCTTCTGCTGGATCTTGCAGTAAGAAGGCAAGATGCACATCATACTCATCATGGATATGATCAGGGAGGCTGGAGAACAGTAGATTATGCTGCAGCTGTCACAATGCAGGAAGAATGATGGACAAGATTGGAACAAAGATGGTGCAGGGAGCAGGGAGGAACAATCCATATGCTTCATCAACTGGGGGGACTGAAATGACCACATAAGACCTTTCTAACCAAGTGACAGACCTAAGGCAACCAAAGAATGTCCTTCTGGAAGTCATACTGACAAGGAGAACATGCTGACCAAGCTGCATGTGATGAGATGGGGCTGACAATGATGAGATGAATCAGGGGGCTTCAGGACAGGAGCTGGTGGGAATGCCTGGCAGATATACATAGCCACTGTCTCTGGCAAATGAGACAAGTGAGATGATCAATGAAGAGGTGGCCATTATTGATGGACATAGCAAAATGAGTGTCTGATGGATGGAGTGCTGTAGAAATGCATAGGGTATGAGGATCCTCTCCAAATTTGGAAGGCAGAATCACATGGCTGAGCACTTTAAGCAAGTGTGAGAATGGAGTTGATATCTTTGGAAATGGTGGAGATATGCTGGAAACCAGAATGCTGTACATGGGCACTAAAAACCTTTAACATGCACTTAACTTGCTTCCTCTTTTCTCTTTAGCACTGATGACTTGTTCTTGTGTGAAGGATGACTGCTCACATCCAGCAGTCTTTCTACACATGAGGCCTTTAGTCTTCATCTGCATGCATGGGTGTTGTGCACAACTTGTCAATGAGTTAGGCAGAGTCAGCTGTAACCATGTCCACAACACCTTTGGTGTGTGACAGTGGGGTGGACTGCATTCTCCAACAAGAAACCAGCTGTTTCATTGGTGACCCTTCCTTGCACCTTCAGGGATTCAAACTTAGTGTAGAATTCTTCATAGCAAGAGTTCCCTTGGTGCATAGTGTGCATCTGAGCTTTGGCCCACTTGACATCAGTCTGAGGGGCAAAGAAGCAATTGATGTCCTCTATCATCTTGGCCATATCAGGCCATACTCCTGTGACAATTGCAAGCAAGAACTTGGCTTGGGCAAACCTTCCAGCCACAGGTCTGGTCATACATGACCATACTGCAGTGTGTTTATCTTGGGCAGTTGGTAGGGCAGTTCTATTCTGTGCAACCCATACCTTCATCTTCACCTACCACCCTGAAAACTTGGCATGATCACCAGCATACTGCCCTGGGTCAGCCATTACTTCAATCCTCCTCTGGATTACATCAGCAGGGAGAGCATTCCATTGATTATGTTGGGCCTCAATCATGGTGACTGTTTCTTGAGTGGCCCTCAGGCTGTCATTTAGGCTGTAGTTTTTGTCTCTGAGAGTGTTGAGGGTGTTTTGGAGGTTGGTGATCTGATCCTGGATGCCATCCATAGCATTCAGGGCATTTCAGCATTTGGTGAGGGTGAAGGTTGTAGCAGAGGTGCTGGGGTTCAGCAGGGAGTGAACAGAGGAAGATGGCAGAAGGGAAGGGTGGTGGCAGAGGTAGTGGGTAGAGTGAATGATTGAAGAGGGGAGTGAGTGAGTGACACTTGGGGATGAACAGGATGTAGAGATTTGGGTTTGGTTCAGAGGCTGGGGGACTTGGCAGGTACACCCATGAGCCTTCATGGAAGAAGTGAGGAATGGTAATGATGAGTGGTGTGAGGGTACAATGGTGAGAAGCTAGTTCAAGTGTGATGAGACCTAACAGCAGGGTTTGTTGTAGGCTTGCACCAAGAACCAATGAAGAAGAAAGGAAAAGTGAGAGAGGAACAAACTTAGGAGGTCCATGACATCATAGTGATGTCATAATGATATCACAGTGGCAGGGAATGTACTAGAAGGAGGGCACAAGGTAGCAGCAAGGCAAGGCCCAGACTGGAGTCAAGAAAAGGAAAAGGGTACATATCATAACAGGGAGAATACAGTGAGGGACAAAAGTGTTGCAATGATTGTGAGGTGCGACTTGCTGCCAATGCAGCTCAGGCTATTCTGCACAGATAATCATGATACCTATACCATTGGATAGGGGTGGCTCTAGGGTTGCCAGAGCACTAAGGTTCAGTCCAAACAAATCAATACATGCTGAGATACAGATACACCCTATTCTTTCCAAAAGGTGCATTGCAATGCTTTTGTCCCTGGCTGGTGAAATAGTGAAAAGTGACCTTTTGATGGGATTGAGGGCATGAAGGATGGGAAAATATGATTACACAATAAACCATATGATCTTTCAGATGATTTGTCAGCATTTAAACAATGACAAACATTGGACTTGTACCATTAACCCTCCCTCTTTTACCACAACTCATGAAATCATCTCTCTAGCTCACATGGTCATTTTCTCAAGGAATTCTTATCAAATACTGGTGGCTACCACAGTGCCATCAGTATAACATGCTCTCAGAACCATCAGTCCCTTAAAAAACCTGTTGTCAGTCATTCCCTGGACTGTTTCCCCACCCATGCCTGATGTGTTCTGGGAATAATCAGTAATTGGAAGGCTGAAAATGTTATGGAGGTCAATCTGGCACTTCAGAACATGATGGACAAACCAGTCCCCTCTCAACCAATGCATTTCTGACACAGGGACAGTGGTATGGAAGTTAGGGCAAGACAAAATCCTCTTTACCCCTGGGTGTCATCAGAAGGATATGCTACTGAACTGCCATGGAGCAGAATCCTGTGCTTCCATCTGGCCCTGAATATTGCCTTTGGTCACATATGACCAAATAATCCTCCCCCAGTCATCTACA